AAACTTGAAGTGAGAAGCTATCATGGAAGAAGGACAGGAACTGGGAAGAACAAATACCCTTGGCAAGGTGTGGCATTCCCCAGGCAAAATGGAACAGAAAGCCAAGCCACACCAAACCAACTGAAAACAGAAGTGGGAGTGAAGAGTGGAGGAAGAGCTCTGCTTACGGGATGGAGGCTGTGGCAGGAAAGGAGAGAGGGAGAGCCTGAGGCCTGGAATTGAAAGCTGTAGCCAACCTTCTCTGCCTTAGGAGACAGGGGTTGATTGCCTCCCCCAAAGAAACCTGGGTTCACTCTAACCTTCTGATGTTGCAGAGCCCCACAGAGGTGGCAGGTTTGCAACTGTCTTCATGGGTATGTCTAGGAGAGGGGGTGGAGGAGGTATCAGGGCCAGGGCCTGCAAGACAGATCCCTTCCTATAGCCTGAACTGGACAGAATCTTCAAAGCAGGAGGAAGCAGTTTTGACATGGGTACCACGGCTTAATTGGTTACAACCTCTACCTAGTAAACAGAGTCTAGGTTCACATCTTGCTTGTGTCATATCTTACGAAATGAGCCTGGTTTCCTCTTATGTCCTGGGGGCTCTCTCATACTCCTGCTGCCCTTGCCCATGATTTGGGTTGGCCAAATCATGGTTAGGAATCCTCTGCATGGCCCCTTATTGGTCTCCAATGCAATTGTGGGGTAGGAATACTTGGGTCCTTAGGGGCTTGGGACAGATGGCCTTACTCTCTACTTTTGTGCTGAATGCCCACCCTGCCTACCTCCAGGGCAACTTATTAGGCCTGAAAAAGGACCAGATAACTAACAAAGGAGGACCATTTCTTTGGATTTTTCGGTTTTACACTGGATTTACCTTCTTTGAGGTGTCTCCTCCTTTTTGTCTTTTCAGATGTCTAGACCCATGAATTCTCAATACCCATCTAAGAAGCTCCAGCCCCAACCAATTACAACAGCTTGGTAGTTACCCCACCACAGTTTCTGAAATTGGTGACTAACCCAGTTCTTTCACTGACTTAAGGGGGGGGGAATAACTTGGGACTCAAGAGGAATTGAACTGAGAAGCAACTAGCCTAGGATTTTGCAGAAAATAAATCTGAGAACAGGGGTGTGAAGATTCCATCTCCCCCTATTTGAAGACGGTGAGGAACCACTGATTAAAATGGAATTTGAATCTAGCCAGTGGTTCTTAAACTTAAGCCTACATCAAATACCCTGGTTAAAAGGCATGTTAAAAGACCGATTGCTGGGTTCCATCCCCAAAGTTTCTGATTCAGTTTGTCCAGGGTGAGAATTTGCATTTCTAAGACAAGTTTCAGGTGATACTGATGCTTCTGGTCCAAAGATTGCATTTTGAGATCCATGGCCTAGTACAGCACTCTGAGGAATAGAAGTAAACTTTGCCATCTCAGGATCTCTAAAGGGCCTAAGGGAATAGATTTCACTTTTCCGTTGTTGCCCAACCCCACTCACCCCCATCCAGTGCACTCAAATGAATAGAGATGGAAAGAACTTGTCTTCTGGAACCTCTGGTTCTGAGTCAGGGCTCACCTTGCCCTTGATGGAAATAGGAAACAGTGGTTTGATTGTAGGAGTGCTGGAAAAGGGAGGATTTTGTCCCCAATTATCACCCCTTTGCTCCCTGAAGGTGTAACATCACTTTAACAAGGGAAAATCTTTTCCTTTTTCCACTTCCACTATTAGAACTACAGCTTAAAACGTAGATAGCTCTGAGAAAGCTAACCTTTTGGTTACAATCTCCATTGTAAGGGATTCTTTGCAGAGATACTCTGATGGGGTGGAAAGGCAAGGATACTTGGGCTCTGAATAGGGTAGAGGCACCACACAGAGGGAAAAAGGTGACAGGTTCCTAAAGATGGACTTCCCTGTTGTACATTTTGCTCAGAGAGAACACGGAGATATTTTTTATTTATAGGGGATAGGATAAGGTAGACATGTGGCAGAGACAGTTGGGAGGAAAATGGGAGTGTTCCCTGTGGGAAAAATCACTCAGATCTCTTTGCCCAGCTGATGGCTGTTGCTTATTTTATTTTTCGTCCAAGGGAAGTGGTGTTGGACGGAGGTAGAGAAGACAGCAGTACAGCAGAAATTACCTAAAGGGATGCCCCTTCTGCAGAATGCCCTTAGACGCCATGTTGCCTTTCAGTTGGGTGCTATGAGTGCACCTACACTTTGGGGGCTTCACTTTCTCACCTTACAATTACTAAAACACATCAAAGGCTGGAGGTTAACACCTGGTTGTTAAGAGGCATGATCCGATGGTACGGACAGTCACCTCATACAAGTCTTTAAAACAAGGTTCGTGGGGAGCTGGATTTGTCAGCATGTCATATGAACTTTTTAAAAAACATAGAGTAGAATGTAAGCAATACCCTTCAAGTCATTAAAGACTAGACACTCCTTATATCCTATTGCCTCTGGTATCTTAGTCCTTAAAATGTTTAGTGATCCTTGCCTTGTAATTCTTGACAATATATAATTCTTGACAATATATAATGACCATATTGGGTCAGGGTGACTCCCTTTCTTTGACCCCTGTTTAGTGAATCCATGGATGGGCTCTGAACCTGTTAGATGTGTATGCAAAACTATGTGAATTACTAATATCTTTTTTTCCTCAAAAGTGAGTTTCTGGTTTTTATCAGATTCTCAGAAGGGCCTGTGATCCAAAACAGGTTCTGAACCATTGTTCACACAGAGCTGATTTATATTAATGAATGAGGCATAGTGGGAGGGTAAAAGAAATGGCATAGTCCAGTTTTGCCAGTGGAACCCAATATTTTCCTGTGCCCTGGGGCATCTCCTAATACTGATCCTAAAATGCTCCTGTCTCTGAGGACCTGGGACAAGGATGCCTTACAAAGGGCTGGCCATTTTGCTCTATTCATAGGAACATAAGCAAGAGAAGTACATTCTGGGCAGAGGGAAGGCTGCTCTGAGTAGAAGGGAGGTAGGGGCTGGGTTGCTCAAGTCATATCCACCCTAAGAAGCCCAGTGAGCAAAATGACCCTATTTTTGGCTCCATTTGGGCCCAGGACTCTAAGGAGCTATGATTCACCCAGTTTTTCCTAAGCAAGTGGAACAGTCATTAAACTAGACTGTTGCAGCTAACTTCCTCTTGCCTCTCTGGTTAATTCCACCAACTGTGGTTGAGAAATGTGTGTTAAGGAAAAACCAGAATCTAAGCATTAAAGAGAAAATATCCCACTTCTATCCTCTTTGCTTTTCTCCCTCCCTAACCCCAAACTGCTCTTACATACAAGGTAATTTTTAAATGATACGATTGGTATTAACACATCATCAACAAAGAGAAACAATGACCAACTCATCAACTAATGGATGCTAGAATACTTATGCAAGTTCTGGAGTTAAGAGTCTTAGTGCAGACACCTTTCCAAAATTGGGAGGAAAATCAACCAGAAAGCTCATTACCCTGCATCAGCTGAATAGCTAAGCCACAGCCATTTCCCCTAAAGTTCTGTTTAGGGGAATGAGATCCACAAGAATAACTCTGCCCCCTTGATGAGGCAGTCAAGGTCAAACAAGAGTGATGATAACAACCTGCAAGCATGTGACTCCTGCCTTAATTTCCCAGCACTTAAAACAAGACCAAAAAATCCACTAAGCACAAAGCTTCTATATGTACCTTGCTTGAAATCAATAAGAAACAGCTCACCTCACTGAGGATGTCTCTTTCTCTCTCCACTTTGGCAAAAAGAATCTGTGGCCCAGAGATTCAGACCTAGACTTAAATATCCAGTTGTCTTGATCTCAGTGATACTGGGGAAGGCTTTATATCTCAACTCCCACAACTTAACCCTTTCCACTAGGGCTCCCTTGATCACTCAGCTTACTTACTATCTTGAAACAAAACAAAAAAATCCTTACAATCCCCACTACCCTCATCCCCAGAACACAGCCCCTAGAAAATCTAGCTTATACAGTTTTCACTTTGCATGCTCTCTTCAAAGACCCTGCACACAGATACACAGACACATAAAGACACTGTCAAGAGGAAAGGGGTCTGTTCAAGGGGATAAAGTATTTTTCTTCTGTGTGGGCCTGGGTTACTTGGGGGTATAAGGTCCATCTCTTATTAGCACTGTAGTGTGTTCTCTCAGCTGGATATATGTATATGCAGGGTGAAGGGAGCAGGAATAGGGGTGAAAAGGTTATTGTTTCTGTTTTTCAGCAGGTTGGGTGAGAGGTGTGGATGTATGTTCAGATGATCGGTGTAAGGATGATGGGCCCACACAAGAATGAGGTCTGCCCCTCAGCTTTCATCTGGATAAAAAAGGGGGCTCTGGGTGCCTGATCACTATCTCTTTCCTGTTTCCTTGTTACTCTCTAACCCAGTGTTCACCAGTATGTTTCATGGAGTCACCAGTTCTGTGGGATGTGAGATAAAAAGGATACTGAAGTCAAATAAATTTAGGAAACACTGCATTAAAAGAGGCTTAACCATTTGCTCTACTGCATAAATTTTCAGAGCCTTTAATATGCCAATATGGTCTTTCTCTTCATATATATATATATATATATATATATATAGAGAGAGAGAGAGAGAGAGAGAGAGGGAGAGAGAGGGGGGGGGAGGGAGAGAATAGTTATGTTATGGAAGGGTGATACTCAAAATATTTAATGACTGGTATGGCATAAGCTCCAACCAACCAATCCAAGCAGTTTGGGCCTTAGGCAAAAACTGCTGGTACCACTGTACCCAGGAGAATGGGCTCAGGCTGAATATCAGCCCATGCAGTAGGCACTGTTTCCCAAAAGTTTTGCCCAAAGAACTCTACTTTATGTGGCATCTCACAGAACTGGTGAGAAATACTCTGGCCAATGCTGGAACCTCATCTTTCTAGGGATGGACTGGGACTCATGACTCTGGCCACGGGGGTGCAGGAGAGGGTCAGCTCTGGCAGAGACTCCTGGTAGCACCGGTTGAAAGATGTGACCACAGCTGCAACAGAAACATTTCAAAAGACAGATGTCCCTCTGTCCCAGCTGCTCCGGGGACTCTGTCCCTGGTGGGTCAGCAGGTGCCTGTCCAGGTGATGTTTACGGCCGAAGCTCTTCTCACAGCGCGGGCACTGGAAGGGCTTCTCCCCGGTGTGCGTCAGCCAGTGTCTCACCAGGTGGTGCCGTCGGCCAAAGCTCTTCCCACACTCAGTGCACACGTGGCACTTTGGCACTGGTGGAGCGCGCTGCCGCTTCCGAGCCCCAGGGCTCTCTCCAACCTCTTGGCCCTTGCAGGACTTGCCTTCTGCGTGTACTCTCTGGTGGCTGGCCAGATGGGAGTTGCATCGGAAATTCTTGCCACACTCAGAGCACCTGCTGGGTTTGTCATGTAGGTGGGTTTTCTGGTGTCGGATCAGGTGATGTCTTCTCCCAAAGCTCTTCTCACACTTGAGGCAGCTGTAGGGCCTCTCCCCAGTGTGTGTTTGCTGGTGCCTGGCAAGGTGGGAGCCCCACACAAACTGTTTCCCACACTGGGGGCATGTGTGTGGTCTTAACAGGGAATCCATTTCTGTGCTACACAGAAGGTTTGAGAAGCTATCTTCCTGAAGAAACGGTGGGCCAAGGAGCATGCCTCTGGAGCTCCTGGGCATGGAATCCCAGCTCTCATCCTGCTCTGGGTTCCAGAGAACGGTATCTTCAGACACACTAGATAACATTCTGGGAGGTTCTGCTTCTAGTTCAGGGGTATCCCCTTCGTGCTCACTTCCATCTCCTGTGGAGAAGGGAAAATACCGACCCCAAGAGGGGAGTCACAAGGGAGTACCCCAGGACCTGAGTCAGAGGTGAGGTTGTATGATGCCTATTAGGGCCTAAACCTCACCCCATAAAGGCTGAGAGAACAGATTTTAATGTTGTATAAGACAGTGCAAGAGGTACAGAGGTTAAAAGCCTAGGCTTAGGAGACAGATACCCAATTTTGAATCTCAGCTTTCCCACTTAACTTCTGTAGGCTTTCATTTCTTCTTCTGTAAAATGGGAATCATTATAAGATAGATGTTATAAGACAGATAGGATAGTACCTGCATATAGTAAGCACTAGTAAATGGTCTATGCTATTGTTGTTACTTATTTATTACTGTTATTTATTTAGCACTTAAAAAAAACCTATTAAACACCATCTTCCTGCCTAAGCATAGATGGAGAGAGTTAAGAAATGTGCTACAATCATCACTGGCTGGGTGACCACCTGTCAGCACTAGAGACACTGTGGAAGGCATTTCCACAATGGGTGGCAGGTTGAACAACAACAATTAACATTTATTGAGTGCTTATTATGTGGCTGGTACTGTTCTACTATGGTAACATATTTAAATCTCATGATAATTTATAGATGAGGAACCCAAAGATACGTTGATTACTTTTCCAAGGTTCCACAGGTATGGTCCTGGATTCAGATCCACAAAGTTTAGCTCCAGAGCCTGCCCTCTAAACCACTGTGCTACACCATCTTGCTTTTGAAGAAAAAGATCTCTAAACCTTTCAGTACTATAACTCTCTGAGGCAGAGGAGGGATTAGAGGGACATGTAATGATGAAACTCCAAAAGGGGTGAAGGCCATGGCTGAGTGTATTCTACGTCATTACCTGTATATGTGACCTTCAGAATGTCCCTCTCTTCCAAGTCCTGGGGGTCAGGAACCCATTGTTCTTCCCCTCCTTCTAGTTGAGAAAGCATATCCAGTTTGGGGATTGGAAATCCTGCCCATGGGAAAGGAAAACAGAGATGTCAATTAGTTCAACCGTAATTCTCATTTCTGAAAAAAGCTGTTTCCTAGATTATTCCCTGGAACTCTATAGATAAAAGAAAGGCCAGGGGACTTCCCTGGTGGTACAGCGGTTAAGACTCCATGCTCCCAAGGCAGGGGGCCCGGGTTCGATCCCTGGTCAGGGAACTAGATCCCGCATGCTGCAGCTAAGACACAGCACAACCACATCAGTAGAGAAATACTAAAAAATAAAAAGATAGAAGGCCAGATACAAGCCTTTCCCTCTTCCCCACTCCCGTTTCTGTTCAGTCCCTCTTCTTTCTTTCAGAAAACCATACTTTCTTCCCAATGAGTGCTCTCTTCCACTCAAATTTCAAATACTTCCAGTCCAACTGTCTTTTCTGGTCATAACTTCACTTAATTAGCCCTACTGCAGCTGTCTCACCACCTACACTCCCATCTTTCCC